GTCCACCACGTAACCGAAGGCTCCTTCTCCACGTGCCTGTCTTCTGCCTGGAAGAGCATCTTCCCCACCTTCTCCCACCAGAGCATCTTCCCCACCTTCTCCCACAAGCACTGCCTTGGGGCCGGCTGCTTCCAGCAGAGAAGACGAACCCTTCCACCTCCAGGAGAGATGCTCCAGGCAGCTCAGGCAAAGCAACCTCAATGTCCTGCCTCTCCCACCTGGCCACCAATGCCAAGTCCTCTCCTGCCTCCTTCTCCCCACGGCACCAGGACCCCGGGATGCTCCCCCATCCCTCTCCAGCTCCGCTCCTACAGGCACCACAGACATTTGCCCTCACTCTTGAGGCACATCCACCCACGACAGCAGGACCTCCATGATAAAAGAAGAGAAATGTTCAGAGAAGTTCAGAAGAAGAGAAGAAATGTTCAGCTGGTTGGAACCATACTGGTGGACATGAGGAACAAGGACAGGCTGGGGGAATGGGGGGGACGCAGCTAGAGGAGGAAAGAAGCAGGAGAAGCCCATCTCCCCCTGTCCTGCAGAACAGCAGTTCCCATACCACCACCTCCGTGCCAAGCCTGGGCAATTCAGGGCTGAAACACCCGTGAGGGTTTTCCAAATGAGGAATGACACAGGTGGACATTGAATCCAGATCCACCACCTCCAGCATCCCCAAGATCCCATAGAAGAGGAGCCAGAAGACGACTCCCAGGGCAAACACCAGCGTTGCAGTGTCCAGCTGCTGAGCTTCAGCTGGGATGAAGGCTTCACATCCTCCTCCTCCTCCTCTCTTGATGGGGTAGGAACTGAGGAGGAAGGCTGGGACAACCTGCAAGCAGTGACTGCACCAAGGAGCCAGCAGCCCTGCTCTGCTCCCCAACGTGTCCCTGGGTAGAAGGAGGGACAATGGCAGCGCTTGGGGGTCGCTCTGTCCCCTTCAGAGGCTCCAGGGAACCAGGAGCACTTAAACCCCTGGAGCACTGTGGCAGGGAAGGCTCGGGGCCCAGCGACCACGGCTGTGGAGTGAGCACGGACACGGCCATGCGGGGAGATGCTGAATACGAAGGATTAAAGAAAAAGGAGAAACTAATCTCATGGAGAAGGCAGAGTGGGTTTTTCACTCAGGCACACAGCTGCTTGGATGGAATCAGGAGGGAGAGATGTGAGGCTGGGCACTTCCCGGCAACGCCAGGAGCTTAGAAAGCCCCCGAGCAGGAGCAGAGCCCACCTCTCATCCCGACTTTCCTCCATCCCTGAGTTCTCCGGCTGGTGGGAGCCATCCCCACCTCGTCCCCCATTTCTCGCCCTCTTCCTGTGAGGCCAGCCCCGCTGACCCCATCCAGCCAAAACACCTCGGGGCACATTTTGGGGAGGGAGACACTGCCAAAGCCAGGATGGAGCTACCTCCTGCCCGCTGAGACGGATCCTGCTGTCCTGGGATCCGGCACTCACAGGAGACACCAGCACTTGGTTGACTCTCATCCCACCAAGCTCCATCTCCCACCCACCATCATCCATGGCGTGTGACTTCCTGGGAAGCACAGGGTTGTTGGGCGAGAGGTCGGTGAAAACACGTGTCTTTTAATGTTTTTGGAATACAAGAGAGAAAGCAATACCTAACAGTGCTCTGGGATCCGTCCTGCACCCGCTTTCCAGAGTGGAGGACCATGCGTGGGAACGGCCCTGCTCCCCGCGGCTCACCCCGTCGCTTTCTGCTTCATTAACCCCTTCTTTGCTCCCTGATGGATCTTTGCATCCAGCTTCCCTGTAAAGAGGGGATTAAAAAAAAAAAAAAAAAAAAACAAAAACATAACAAACCCTCATCACTCTTTATTTTTAAATGCTATTTGCAATGCAAATCAGCTGGAGGCAGCGAGGTCTCCTAGTTAGTGTGTTCCTGTCACATTCAATTATCCTGCTTGAGGAGCCAGGCGTTTCCAGCCGCTGTGGCTCCCCTCCGCAGGCGCGACACCAGGGAGCCGGGGGCAAGCGTGTCCAACGCGGCAAAGAGATGCCGGAGCGGGGGAAACGCAGCGAGGAGGAGAGTAAATTAACATCCAGCACTCGCCCGCCGCTACCGAGGGGGAAACCAATCCTTCTCCTCGCCCGCAGGATGCGTGTCAACACGTTCCGAGGAGATGGGGGACTGTCAAGCACCGTGTCAGGGACACGTTTCTCCACAGTGTGGTGGAAAGCAGGCTTGGGGACAATAAGCCCCCAGCTTGGGGATGATAAAGTAGCGGGGCATGGAAGGTGATGGGGACAGACTATTCTGTGCTCTCAAGTGCCAGGTTGGTGGCCTCCAAGGCCACCATCTGGGAGAGAACATTCTGCCTTTTTCACCAGGCAGGACCTCGGGGAGCCCAGGACAGCCACTCCGGTGGGACCCAGAGCAAAAGCTGCTTCCCCTTGTCCCTCAGAGCCCTCAGGGGCTTCACTGCCAGCTCTGCTTTCCCACCTGGGAGGGGAGCAGGAACACCAGAACACGGGATTTGGGCAACTCCTGCAGAAGAAGCCAATAGCCAGGCACACGAGCAAGCCAGGAGGGCAATGCGCTACCTCAGAGGAGCTGGGGAGGGCGGCCCCGGTCCCTGGGGAGCATCCCCTGCATCCCTCAGGAGGGACATGGCCACACCGTGTTCCCGCCATCAGGAGGGGAAGCAAAGGGATCAGAGCTTGATCCCAGGGGGATGGACAGGCAGAGCCCGTCGCAGTGAAACCCCAGTGAGGTGGATGGAACCAGAGCTGGTGGGACCTCATCTGGGTCCCTCGGTATCGTCCCTCCAGGGAACCAAGCCTGGGGTCACCCCGTGGGTGAAGCACAGCCTCTGCAGCCCCTGGGAGATCTCCGCTGCTCCAGCCCAGCTACAGCACACAGCAGATCTCAGCCCTGGGGGGAAACAGATCCACCAGGCTCCAGCCCGGTCCTGCTCTGGACACTGCTCCAAAAGCTGCCAGTAAGTGCCTGTGTGAGGTGAGAAGCAGACATGTGTCCAAAGAAAATGGCTCCCAAGCAGTCAGAGACCATCACCTTCTCTTCAAATCAAAGAAACTTCTCAATTTCAGCTCAACAAAGAGTCCAACAACACTCTTCCCAGGAGAGGCAGGTTACAAAACTGCTTCCTTTCCAAAACTGCTTAAATTCAGTAAGTTCCGAAGAGAAAGATCTGGGGGTCCTGGTGGACAGCAAAATGCCAATGAGCAAGCAGTGTGCTCTTGTGGCCAAGGGGCCAATGGGATCCTGGGCTGCGTAGGGAAGAGTGTGGCCAGGAGGTGGAGGGAGGTCCTTCTCCCCCTCTGCTCTGCACTGGGGAGGCCACAACTGGAATCCTGCCTCCAGTTCTGGACTCCCCAGTTCCAGAGGGACAGGGAACTGCTGGAGAGAGTCCAGCGTAGGGCACCAGAGATGATGGAGGGATTGGAGCATCTTCCTCATGAAGAAAGGCTGAGAGAGCTGGGGCTCTTGAGCCTGGAGAAGAGAAGGCTGAGGGGAGACCTTATCAATGCTTCTAAGTATCTCAAGGGAGGGTTGAGGGAGGATGGAGCCGGACTCTTCTCAGTGGTTCCCAGTGACAGGACGAGGTGCAACGGGCACAAGCTGGACCATGGGAAGTTCCACTCCAATGTGAGGAAGAACTTGTTTGGGGTGAGGGTGACAGAGCCCTGGCAGAGGCTGCCCCGGGAGGGTGTGGAGTCCCCTTCTCTGGGGATCTTCAAGCCCCACCTGGATGCTCCTGAGTAACATGCTCTGACAAGCTCTAGGCAATCCTGCTTCAGCAGGGGAGTTGGACTAGATGATCTCTATGGTCCCTTCCAACTCTAAAAATTCAGTGAAATTCCCTCAGGATGTCCCGCAAGGACAACACAGCCTCCCTGAAACTGGGCCTCCTCCTCCAGCTTGAGTTGTGGGCCAGCTGTGCTCCTGTCGGAGCTTGAGAAGGAAGTCCAATGCACCAAACCCGTAACACGTCCAAAATCCAAAAAGGGTTTGCAAGTCCCTGTGCCATAGATCTGCAGACTGAAACGCCGCTACAGTCAAATGGAAACTGGGAGAAGGAACCAGACGCTGCCGATGTCTCGGCACAGCAGTTGCCACCCTGCAGCCCACGGGACACAAAAGACCTTCGGAGAAACTCTTCCACCAGCAAAAATTAGATAATTAAAACGGGCTAAACAAAAGGGCAAAACAGGGCACTACTTGAAGTGTCTGTTTTCAGACAGTGTTCTCACCCTGAGCTGTGAAGTTTGCAAGATGCTCTCCTACAAGGGCTGGGAGATCCACCATGCCCTCTGCCACCCCACGTGGGAGAAGACTTCCCCCATCTGCCCAAGGATGGGGAAGAAGCCCCCTCCTTGCAATGGCTGGAAACAGCAATGGGCACCCAACAAGGCTGAGCCAGCAGGGCCAGACTGTCCGGAAGCGGCGTGTCAGACCACGGTGGGGTTTTTGGCAGGAGAAAGGCAGTGAGTTCACACTCGCTCCATGCTCTGGTTCCCCACCACCAACGTTGTAGCACCTCCAGGGCTGTAAGCCTCATATCTGACATGCCTGCCTGCTCCTCCCGGACCCCAAAAGCAATCAGGAAGCTCCTCGGCTCTATCAGCTGGCAAAGATCAAACATCACGTGGGTAACCTTTAGGAAAAGGCTAAAAATAAGGCAACGGCCCCAGGGTCCCCTTCTCTTTCCGCTCAGTGATTCAAGGACTCTTGTCTTGTGCTGCGGCGTGTCCCTTTGCCTGCTCCTCCACGCTCTTCCAGCCGTCGGCTGTCGAAGGGAGGTTTCTGAGCAATGCTTGAGGGAGGCTTCAGGGAAGCTTTGCCCAGATTCAAGGAAATCTCCCAGGAGAATCGCCACCGAGCTTTGTCCTCATGCGCTGAAACTAAGTGGGGATGTGTTTGGGGACAGCCATGCTCCCAGATGCAACACAAACGCAGTGCCCATCCCTTCCACACAAACAATAACCCTGGCAGCAAAAATTGAGCTATGTTACTTTTTTCCTTTTTTTTTTTTTTTTTTTCCCATCCCCAGGCTGCTAGAAACGACTAATTTGCAATGGAGAAGCATTCAGATGTCATCGCGGCGAGGTCCATGCTGTTATCTGGCAAGGAAAACCGCTCTGGCTTGGCTTCCCAACAAGACAAACTGGCATTTTGTCATGGCCTGAGCCAGGCCTCAAGGAGACCGGGGCAGCCGGCGAGCTCAGGTGGGGACGTGAGCCGGCACCTTCCCCCTGCTCTGCTTCCAGCTCGGAGAATTAAGCTTTTGGCTGCCTCGGATGCGATGCCAGCTCCGATTAAAACAGTGCCTTACCCCGTCGAAAGGTCAAAGCCTTCCTCACTCCTTCCCTAGGCTGTCACAAACATCACCCAGACAGACGACGTCCCCTCCGGGAGGGGAAAACGCAACTCCACAGTCTCCCCCACCGCTGCTCTTGTGACAGCTCCTGTCGGGATGGAGGGCAGGAGAGGCAGGGCCAGCAGCAGGAGCGGGCAGCGCAGGCAGCCGCCAGCACAGCCGGCTTCCTTCCAGCCTGTTAGACTGATCCTTCTCCAAGCAGGAAAGTGTCACAACACAAAGGAGATGATGTGACAGATGGGCAGGGGACCGGCAGTGCCTGCGCCCGGCGAGGCAGACCCGGCAGCTCCCCTCCTAACCACAGCCAGGCGGAGGCAGATGTGGCAGCGAAGGGGCACGAGAGAGCTTGTACGAGAGCAAGGAGACGTTAAAACAAGAAAAAAAAATAATACAAAAAGGATGCAGCGGCTGCTCCGGCAGGCAACAGCGACGCGGCTGCTCTACCGCAGCAAAGATGTTTGCATCCTAAATAACTGGGCGCAGCCCTGCTGCCCCCCGGCGCGCTGGGAAGGGCCCGTCCCCGGGGTAGGACAGTGGGACAGCGGGATCCGAGCGATGCAGCTCACCCAGCTCCATTTGTCACCACCGGCTGAACGCACCTCCCAGGCACTGCTACAAAAAGCAGGGGAAAACCCAAATTGTTCGCCCTGCTCAATCCCCCGGCAGGGCAGGAACACCCCCAGTGACCAAAGCCTTGCCGTAACAGTGCTCCTCTGAGCGGAGAGGGGGGCAAAAAACCCTCAAAACAAATAAAAATAACCCCACACTATGCTTCAAAAGCCCCTACTAACCGGCCCTAAGAAATCCTGCCGCTCCTGTGCCACTAGATAACTACTCCCAGAGAACTGCGCTGCAAACCCCAGTCATCAGCTCTGCTAAACAAACAACCAAGAGTATTTCTGCTTATGCTGCTTTTAGCCCGTCAAATTAATTTTTCACATCCCCTGAAAGCGTGTACGGTGCCTTCCCCAGGCTGTGTGGTGGGGAGGCTGCTAATAAGGAGGGAGCTGACTGCAGGCTCCCCAGCTGCTGCATCCCTCCTCCAGCCTTTTTACGGCAGCGGGCAGGAATAACTGGCAGCCTGCGGAGGGGCTGGTGGCTCATAAAAGGGACTAACGACGCTGGCAAGCGGAGCGCGGACAGATGCTGCGGCGCTTCCCTGCGAGGTCTGCCAGGACACCCCATCCTGCCGGCCGGCGGATGGAGAACATCCATCTGGCCCTGCAGCTCTTGCTCCTTCAAGCCCTCACCGTCCTCGCCGGGGAAGAGGGTGATTTTTGAAGCGCAGGCAAGGAGCTAGTGCAGATCTGCCCCAGCATCCCCGCAACAGCACGTATCCTGACCCAGGCTGATGCCAGAAGCGGATCAGCTGCAGACACGAGTGCTCTTTGACTCCCGAGTGTTTGCAGAGGCAGGAAGAGGCATGTACTTGGAAGGAAGCAACATCTGGGGAAAGGGCAACCAAAGACAAAAAAAATATTACAGATGTATTCGAGTCATTAAACAAACACCTACAGATCAAAGAGCACAGGGCAAAGGTTGTGAACTCATATGGCAGAGGCAAGCAGAGGTGGTGATGAGAGCAGGCACGAAAGGCCAAGGGGGGCATCTGTGGAAACTTTACTACTTACAGATTTTGGGTTTTCCTTTGATGGGAAACTTCACAACCATCTCCTGGGGATTAGTGCAGATAAAGACAAATGGAGACCCAGACTCCTGGCTCAAATCTGGACACTGCAAAACACAGACACACACACAAAACAGAGTCAGACCGGCTGCCACGGGTGTGAACAGAGCTCGGCGGTCAGGAGCAGAGAAATTTAAGAGATGGGTTATGTCTAGGCTGTAGCAGCGCAGACTAAACCAGATCAAGAACTCTGAACAACAAAAAAACAACCAACCTATCACAGATTTGGGTCCTAATCAAAGTGTACCCTTCTCTAAGCCTCTTCTCATCACACCTCTGCCACAGCTTGCTCCCTTTCCGGATCTGCTTACCAAGCCACTTCCCTGAACACTCCCTAATCCTTTTCACCCCCCTTTAGCACCGAGCTGTGTTTCACCACCTAAAAAGTGTGGTTTCACTGATCTAAAGCATGGGGTGTCAACAGAGAGGCGGTCAGGGGCCTTGCCCTCCCAAATTTTCCTGCTCGCTGCCTGCTTTGTGCCAGGACAAGCATGGGACTGATTTTCAGCCTGAAGCATTCCCCGATTCAGCAGAATGTGGGTACCCCTGATAAACCTCAGCCAGTCACGGGCTGCACACCAGCACCTCAACCCAAACAGCTTGGCCAACCCAACAAAAGGATGACCACCAGAAGGGTGGAAACCTCTTCTACTGAAGCAGCTGTCCCAGCTACGGGCACCTCCCAATCTCTTCCCCACAAAGCTGTGTCTGAACACCAGGGCTTTAAGATTTGGAGAGCGCGCAGTGTCCTGCTGTGGGACGCGAAGCCCTTGAGATTTGTCTGCATCTCAAGGGTGGGCGGAAGAGAGAACAGTTGCAAGGTGCCAGGTGGCTGGCTCAGAGAGGCCGGCCGTCTCCACGCAGGGTGGGCTCTGCGCACACTGCGCCGAGAGCTTTCACTGTGATGAAGATATGGGCAAATTTCACAGGCAGCGTATGAACAGATCGTTTCTCTCATGAACCACAGGGAGAAAAGAAGAAAAAAAAAAAACCACTGCTCTCAGCAAAGGAAATGCACCAAAGACCTATCTGGATGCAGCTCAGCCTCACTGCTCTTCAGAAGCAAAATGCAGAACAGTTATAAAAAATGTATATAGCAACCATCACTTCGGATTCTCTGTTAGCTGCAGACCTTGCACTGACAGGCACAGAGGCACTGGGGATGCTATGAAGGTGCTCCAGCCCAGGAAACCCGGTTCAAACAGAGCGCGGAAGCGGTTTTCCTTCCATGGGAAAACTGCTGCCTTTTTTTCTTTTGCTCCACTGCCTTCCTCAAGCAGATCCGTCAGGGCTGCTGTAGGGGACAGGATGCCAGACCAGATGGAGCAGCGTGTCCTGGCAAATCCCCCATTTGTTACTAACAAATGACTCCTAGGCCGAGTGTTTGAAAAGCTCTCACCGACCTGCCAAGATGAGTTTGGATTTGCCCTGGAACAGCTGGGCACGAAGCAGGGAGCATCCCCCTCTCCCTGCACTGCAGCGGGGTTTGGCAGCGCTGCCAGCGGTTAGGGGAGATTTACAGAAGCCCGACACCGGGACTGGATCAACCGGGGAAAGCGTTTCCAGCCCCTCTCGTCTGACAACAGTGTGGAAGAGCTGTTCACCGAGCGAGAGAGAGCAATGTACGTGCCCTGAGCAGCTCTGTACGACACCCGCGGCGGGGGGGGAAGAGCCGCACCGACGTGTGTCGCACGCGGGTGCCCTGCTGTACCGATCTGGGGTTGGACAGGTTTCTTCCTCTTTCTTTTTTTTGCCTGAGCCACATTTTCTTGACTTGCTTCCACTGCTCCACACCAATGCCAAGGATTCTGATTTCCCATCTGCAGGGAAGAAGGATCTTAGAAGGTTAGAAAGAGCCAATGTGAATAATCCCGGCCAATGCCTGGTGATTGTGAAATGCTGGCACCGTGTCACTGCTCTCGGCATCACGCAGGGGACTGGTGGCCCCTCCATAGCCCGAGGACCTGACTTACCCACACGAGCATGGCCTCTGGAGGTCACACCATCAAGCAGCGGGGCGTAAGCCACCACCCAGTCACAGAGATGGTCCATCCCCACTCTACTGCACGTGGTTCAGCCAGGCTGTGTGTCCAGGACCAGTGTGCCACAGAGTTCTTACTGCCTCGAGTACAGCTGCTTCCCAACATCCTCAGCCACCATCTCCTGGACATCACCATGTCCCCCTTCACACACCTTACAGGCCCTCACACAGGGCCTCTCCCTGTAACAGCTACCCTGGCATCAGCAGCGAAAGCAACAGCCAGGTTGGTTTCTCCTCTGAGAGCTTTCATCCAAAACCAGGATCAAACCTTCAGCTCCAAAAGCTTCCAGCTCAATCCCATCCCACGGCGAAGGCGGATGCCACAGCTGTGACTTGGGTTTACGCTTCCACGGCGCAGCCTTTCATCTTCGCTCCCAGGGTACGTTTCTGTACGTGTGCCAAATCTGTCCATGTCCTGCATTTCAAAAGCCTCCGTCCTTCCTCTGGATTCTCACTCTCAGGAGGGAGGGAAAGAGCCCCTCATCGAGCCACTACATTTAAAGGTTCCTATTGTACCTACCCCGGAAACCTCTTATCCCATCCTGGTGAACAACAAAAGCAGAATATTCCTGCCTGCGTGAGCTGAGAAACAGCCGTAACCCTTTCCTCTGCCTAGAGACAAGATGCTCCCAGGCGGAGAAGCTGGGGCTGAGCCAACCTAATGGCTCCACTCTTCCCCTGGTCCCTTCCACAACTCAATTCAGCTCATTCATCCTGCAGAAATTTAGGGAGCTTTCGGGTAAAGTCAGTTTTCTGCTGGATGAATGGGCTGAGCTGCTCCAAGAAGGGTCCGGTGAAGCGGGTGAATGGCAGGAGTCCATGGCCGGGGGCTGGTAGGAACTGAGGCTCCTCCTGAAGAGCAGTGAGAGGTTAGATGTGCCGGCTGCATCTCTTGACACCAGCTGAGCAGAGAAACAGTCAGATATGCTTTTGCCACACGACACATCACCAGGACCAAGAGCTCAGCATCTGCCCAGCGCACCTGTAAGTAGCTGCCAATATTTAACGTGTTTAGAAACCATCTCCGTGGACCTCACTTCTAGAGGTCACTGGAGGTGTTACTGTTTCCTACCCAAAATCGCTCCCTCTTGCCATTCAGCCCCCTAAACAGCGCTCACTCCAACGTCACCATGGTCACCATGAGCAACGTCGCCTGCAGACACCTACAGGCTGTATCTACACTATCTCATCTCATCACCACCAGGATGAGGACAGCCAGCATGGCTGGACAGCAGCACTCCTCTGCCTCTACGGCTCTTCCCACAGCTCAGCTCAGCGTTAGAACATCGGTACCTGCCTGCCCCACACTGAAGATGCTTCTCCTGTCGACAACAACCCAGCTGACTTATGCTCTCAGCAGACACCAAACACAGCTGCCTCCATTAACATTTTGCAAAGCTGCCCAAGTATCTAATGAGTAAAAAGCTCATTTCTCAATGTTCCTGCTGTAAGAGGTCAGTCAGGTCACCCTACAATCTACAATGCAGTGAGATTAGGAGACGGAGAACAAATTTACTCCTAACTACTACACCCCACAGACAGCAGCCACTGCCCATCAGTGCTTTAGCAAACCCAAGACTTGTAGTAAAAGCCCAAAAGCCACGTGCCAGAGAGAGAAGACAGAGCATATGCCCAGTAAACAGGAACTGCAACATCATTTTTTTTAAATAAAAGGTCAATTTAGAGGGAAACAACACTCCCTCTCTACAAGAGACTGAGAATCAATCCCAGCCAGGAGTCTGACGGGGGATGTTCCTAATTCCAACGGCCCTCATCGTTATCATCTTGTGAGTATCAATAAGACAAGTACAAGTATTCCAGGCTTTGACATTGCCTCGAGCAGGAACCAACTCAGCATTTAGGAGAAGGTGGCTAAAAATGCCCTTTACAACAAATAAATGCAGAGGCCAAGTTGTCCCTCAAGAAGAAGAAAACCCACCCTACTCCAATCCTGCAGACAAGCAGGAAAGCTCAAAAGAGAGGGGTTATGCAATGGAACTACAGTGTAAAAAACATGATTCAGCCTCCTTTCAGACCTTCTGCCACCTCGTAGCAGGCTTGTGACAAGGCAGTTGGGAGGACGGTGGATTCTGTGGGCTGCCAACAGCCGGCACAGCTTTACCAACTGCTGCTCCAGCCCACTGCTTCACACAGTTGAAAACCCCACGTACGCTCTCCATACACCAGCGTCCCCACAGCCACCACCCTCCTCGCTCATCCCATCTCTGCGACCGTACCAGTTGGGCTTCAGTTTGCTGCTAACAGGTTTATAAGATCCTGGCTGTGAAGAGATTAGCTGGGGAGGGGGGGGGAGGACGGGAAGAAAAGCAGATCTCAAGGCAGCTTAACACACGCAGAAAGAGCTCAGGGTTAAATGTGGCATCTGAGTACAAGCTGGAAAAGGAAGCTGAGCACTGGGCTCCTCCGAAAACCAACCACCAGATCTGCCCTCTCACTAGAGCCGGCGCTTTGAACATACATTAAGTGGCTATCAGATGTCCCCAACAGCCACCCCAATCAAGCTGCAAGCAGGGATAATTGCTAATGAATGTTCCCTACACTTTGTTTTCACCGTCTCCCATCACCAGCTCATCACCACCAGAAATAGCAGCAGAGCTGCCCAGCCTCCCCGTTCCGCAGCCCACAGCAAAAGAGCAAAGGAGGGGACGAGCCAGCTCGGAGACAGCAGAGACACGAAACCACCTTCTCTGACATTTGAGAAAAAAAAAAAAATCCTGCTGATTTTTTTTTTCCCTTCCACCAATCTGTTAAAGTAAATATTTTTTTTCCCTGATTTGGGTAAAGGCTGCAGCAGGATGCGGGGGCTGTGCACGCTTGCCCAGCATCACTGGTAACAACGTGGGGTTCAGGACCCTTAGCTCGTTCCTGTTCCATCCCAGCGGTGGGGAAAAAAACC